ACACACATACACACACACACACATACACACACAAAGTATTTGGTTTCTAACGAGAACACTTTTTAAACTCATCATCATGTGACACAAAAATAAATCCTGCACGTCTGATCTGAGATCAGTTTTTAAATGTCTGTGTTTGTGAATGTGTTGTTTTGAAGTCACTTCCTGTTTGTGTGTGCTCGCTGTGACTCCGTCAGACCTGGTTTCTCTTGCCCCACTTGAAGTATTTTTAGCGGCAGTGGAGACGCAGATGAAACGTCGACATGGACTCTAACTTCTCTTCATGTTCTCTCTGCTGCTGCTTTTATTTTTCCTCTCGTCCCACTTTCCTCTCAGATCGTCCCCTTTAATCAGCCTGATGAGGTCATCACAGAACCAATGACGTCTGACGTCTCTTATCAGACACGAGACGTCTTCAGTCGTTCACTTTGTGAAGATCGAGCAAACGCTGATCGATCTTTGGAGGATTGGAAATAAAATCACAGAGAAAAAAACAGTCACTGTTTTATACACACACACACACAGTGGAAAGACAGTGGACACACAGTGGACACACCGGGGTCCTCACAACAGCCAGAGACAAACCATACGCTTTTCAACACGTTTGATTTCTCTCAAATACATAAAATAAAGTTCAAGCGTCCAGCGCTCTTTGCTTGTCAGCTCTGTCTCTTTGTGTCTCCTTGTGTCTCTTTGTGTCTCCTTGTGTCTCCTTGTGTCTCTTTGTCTCCTCCTCCTATGGCAGCTCTTCCTTGAATCCAGGGACAGTTCATTGTCCTCAGCTGCTCTGATCCTCCTTCATTCAGAGTCACTGATGTTTTTCAAGATGATGTGAGAGTTCTTCCACTTCCTGTGTGTCGTCCTGTCAGTTCCCTACTCATCATTTTATTGATGATGTGTCGGTGTCTCCTGCAGGTGGACCGGACGGAGTTGATGCGCAGCTGTGTGAACCCCACATACTCTAAGGTTTTCACTCTGGACTTTTATTTTGAAGAGGTGCAGCGTCTACGCTTTGAGCTGTTCGACATCAACAGCAACTTCAACAGCCTGAAGGAGGCGGACTTCCTGGGCTCAGTGGAGTGCACTCTGGGACAGGTGAGGTCACCACCTGGGACAGGTGAGGTCACCACCTCCAAAACACTTATACAATACATTACACAATATACTCATAATAATATATTCACAGATTATATTATACATTATCTTTTACATTATATTTACAGATTGTAGATATAGATTAAATCTGGTCCTGTCAGGATGCTACACTGTGCCTTTAACTGATTCATCCTCTGGGGAACCTGAAAGTCTGTGAAACATAAATGATCTTAAATATTAAATATAGACTCAAGCAGTTTTTCTCCATCTGCCGTTGGCCTGGTTATAGATTGAAGTTAATTCTTGTCATCATGAGGCCTGATGGTGGAATGTTCAGTTTGCTGGTGGCGGGGGTGTGAAGCCGTGTTGGAAGAGTTTGAACATGCAGGAGAAGATGAGGAGAAGAGGAGCAGCATCCAAGTCTGAGACTGAACAATCGGCTCCCACCAGGGTCGGAGACTCCCCCTCGCTCCTCCTCCTCGTCATTGTCTCTGCCAGCTCCTTCAGCGGCCAGATGGTGGACGCTCTGCTGACGGGCCGGGAAGAAACCGCCAGAAACCCCCTCTGAGGAAGAGGAGAGAGGACGGAGCCAGAAGACGAAGTCAGCTTCATGAGAACCAGATCAGCTGAGTTTATATGACACAACGGAGCTGCAGCAGAGACATGAGGGACGAAGACCATACGTCCATACGAGTCCAGGTCCAGATCTAAAACCAGCTCCAGGTCTGAAACCAGGTCTGAAACCAGGTCCTTCATCATCCTCACTTCCTGGAAATGTGTCAAAGTTCCCGGAAAAAAAGATTTAAAAAGATTTAAAACCTTCAGAATTCAAACCTGTCAGACATCGAACAGAAGAGACGCTGCAGCTCATTGGTCCAAAATATTCAGTCTGAGACCGGTTTCATCAAAATCTAATAAAAACTCTTCAGACTGTCGATTCACAGACTCTGAGCTGAAATCAGCTCAAATGCTTTGTTGATGAAACTGATCAGGTTTGTGTCTCTCTGTGTCTCTGTCTCTGTGTCTCTGTCTGTGTGTCTCTGTGTCTCT